CAATTAAAACGACTTTAGATAATGAATATTTCAAATTGTATAGATTGTTAATGCGTTTTAAAAGATAAATTAAATAAAAATAATTTTCAGATTGGCGCCCCTCCGTGCTGACGCCCTGGGCAGTCGCCCAGGTCGCCCATAGCTTTCGCCGACCCTGCCTAACCTATATTATAGAAATCGCTATCAAACATACTTATTATATTATTAGGTACCCAAATGGCCACATGGTAAATTATTATAATTAAGTTACTTATATAAATTAAATTTATTAGTTGTCAAATAATTCGGGGGGTTGAACCTCTACCCAGTCTACCCTCCTAACCAATATACCGCCTTATTACCTAACCGTCTAAACCTACCATATAAATAATACGAATAATTTTGCAATGATTTTTCTATGCGCTTAGAAATAAATTTGATGTCGCAACGAGATAGTATCACGATGATTAATAGGGTAAAATAATATATTTATTAGTTAATTCGTAATTACCAAAGTCCATGAGAGCGACGATGATTTGACATCAACATTTATATGGAATTAGGAACACACCTTATTCGTTTTTGTCAAAAAACGACATTATTATTATAATATTTTACACTACATGGTATAATACAATGTATATGACTGACACAACTCTTGCCTTTATCACCCAAACAAAGATAATATTTTGTCATAATTTATAACAACATAATATTACATTTTCTAACTAATATTTAGTATTTACTATACATTATATTTTAATAATTAATCTAAAAATTGTTTTTGCTGCCTAGGCACAACATAATATTGTAACGCACCTGATATTTTTTTTATTTTGGTTATTTTGCACGTCATAAATATTATAGAGTACAATATATTACAGTGTATTACAAAATTGAAAATATAGATTATTCGAATTTTACATTGTTATTTGAATCAGTCGTCCAAATCAATGGACACAATTAAAACCAATGAAATGTACAAGCCAGTTTTAAATAAAATGTTTATTTTTTGTTATATTGTAATAATTTAAACCATTGATCCGACTATCCAATAGATTTAAAAATGTTCACATATATTATACACGCACTATAGTACTACTTATATTACCTACTATACATAGTGATTCACTAAGCATGATTATCCCCATTCACTCATTATTTATTTTTATTTTTTTAAGGTATTCCTAGCTAGAATAGCTATCTAAGCCTACTGATATATACAAATTTTTTACAGTTTTTAAATYCTCTCCTTTAAGATGACGCTATACCCGCATGTGTTGTCTCCGTCTTACAAGTGCGTAACATAGCAAAATTTACGATCAGCTGATCACGTTTAGCTCCGTTAGTTTAAAATGTAGAGTGAATTAACTTCTTATAAAAATTAAATGTAACTACATTATCATCTAAGGCTTCTCATAAGTTTTTTTATTATATTTTAATTTTGTAGCTAGTTATGAGTATTTTAAAATTGTAAATAGTTTGTATATCTTAAAATACTCGATTTTAAACTAACGGATCTAAACGCGCGTGATCTGCTCATAGTAATTTTTTTTATGTTATGAACTTGTAAGACAGAGACAACACATACGGGTGTAGCGTATGAACTCTTAATAGTGAATTTATTCAAATTTTAATTTTAGGATTTTTTATGTATACTTTAGCTATAAAGGCGTATAGTAAATAGTTTCATAGTATGAACAATAATAAAATGCCCATAACAAACGACAATATAACTCAGATAACATTTTTACTATTTTATTTAATAACAAGTCAATAATATTAATATCAAAAATGAATTCTACTGAACGTAAGTAAGTAACTTAACTATGGCTCATGTTTCATGTTTGTAAGACAGAGACAGCATATACGGGTATCACGGCTTATTAAGTATTAAGTACTAAATACTAAGGATAATAGGTTTAAGTTTAAAGATCCGATAGGGGCTATGATAATATAAAAATTATAGTAATTCATATTAATTATTTATAATTTTATAATTTGCAAAAATTGTTCAAGTATAAAACTACGTTCCTACTAATTATTGCATTGTTACCAATTTACCATATACTTATTGTTAGATAAAACTATTATTAAATACTTTTATCCTTAATCCTTATCACATATAATTTTAATAATTCAGAAACTACTCGTTCGAAATTCTATTTATATTTTACATACGTCAAATCTTTATAAAAACAATTTGATTAACAATAATATAAAGTAAAATAAGGGTTTTCTTATTAAAAGAGAAGTTTGTATCACTAAAGGGTACTCCTTAAATGAAATGAAAAATCTAAATATTGAAAAATATGGTCTCTACGTGCAGTACTTGACAATTTCAATTGCCAAATATTGGAATTTGAATAAAAACATTATTATAAGAAAAAAGAAATGGGGGGAAACATGCTTGGTGCACCTTATGTACGTTAGGTATATACTATAAAGTAATAATAAATATATAATAATATATTAATATATACATTATATAATATAATAAATAACACAATAGTGAACTGAACTCTTGTTGGCAGTAA